CATGCACGTCTGTGTGTGTGTGTGTGTGTGGCTGCTTGTACTAGTCCGGACTGATGCCGATTTATAGTGCCAGCCCTCTGAGATACCATGCCGCAGTTAAACAGTATATCCCGCTCAGATACAGTATACTGACTCCGAGCCGACCAGTTCCTGTTTTAGCCCCTTAATGCCGAGCGCCACAAAGGGTAGCTACAATTCATCTTTTAACGGTATGACGCGCCCGGGGATCGAACCCCGGACCTTCCGCACTCCAGGTGGACGCTCTACCACTAGACCACGAAGGCGGTCGTTACAAAGGTCGATGAGTCGGTAGTAGTTGATACTTTCTTCTACGTAGAGTATAGTGTCAAACACGTGGATGAAGGAATCATCTGCGTAGATGATTCTTTTAAGACTGTGACATTACTGCTCCATATTCCATACTCGACAGTAGACCGCCTCCGTGGTCTAGTGGTAGAGCGTCCGCCCGGAGAGCGGAAGGTCCGGGGTTCGATCCCCAGCCGCGTCATACAAAAAGACGTTAAAAGACTGTACTTGTTGTAACCCTGTCTGGCGCTCGGCATTAAGGGACTAAAACAAGGACTGGTCGGCTCGGAGTCAGTATACTGTGTCTGAGTGGGCTATTCATGTTAAACTGCGGCATGGTATCTCAATGAGCTAGCACTATAAATCGGCATCAGTCCGGACTGGTACAAGCAGCAACACACATACACGTACATGCACGTTGCTATAGAAGTGCAATAATCTTGGACGCGACGTTAAACCCAATTTCACCTCACCTCACCTCATATTCGACAGTTGGTGATAATTTCTTCTCTGTAGATTATAACATCATATAGGTAGATGAAAGTAACTTACGCGAAGATGTGAGTAGTATCATCTACAAGTATGAAAGTAATCATCGACGTAGATGATATTTTGTTTAGACTGTGGCAGTAATACGCTTCCATAGTCAGACGTGTGAAACAGAGGATCTGAGCGTGTTCTTGCTTTTGAGTTAGTGATGAGGAAACGATGGTGTTTTAGAAGTTGAATCACCGATAAAAAAAGTTACACATTGATCTGGTAGCATTTTTATTCAAACAATCCGTACACATATTGATGCACAATTGATTACGAAGAACAATTAAAACAATTAAAATATAAACATGACTGAAATACCCGTTTCATATTTATCACAAAAGTCAATTATTTCCACATTGGGTATGATCGATACCAAAGTTTTAATAGATATGATGTTTATCACATTGGCGTATCAACACGGCAGCCATTACCGTACCACCGTACCAAATAGTCAGACATAAAAGTAGGCAGAACACCCAAAAACAAGTAAAGCGATATATGTACAGCTTATCAGTCAACTGACCTCTAAGAGTGAGTGAGTACGGTGTTACGCCGCTTTTAGCAATATTCCAGCAATATCACGGCGGGTGACACCAGAAATGGGTTGCACACATTGTACCCATGTCGGGAATCGAACCCGGGTCTCCGGCGTGACGAGCGAACGCTTTAACCACTGGGCTACCCGACTGCCCCCTGACCTTTAAGAAGGATTGTGGTGTGGTCCTTATAATAAACTCACACAGACTATGGGGACATTTTAGATGATATAGTGCCTTTGATCTGGGCATATCAATTGTATTGTTTGCATGTATGAAAAACTACTCTTTTTTTAGGTTCCTGAATTCCCTCACTTCACCTGCTGTCGGTATCAAACTTAAATACAATAAGGAAGAGAATTTATGGATGGCAACTTTTTATTTTGAGGAGACCCGTTGAGATCCGGGGTAGAATAGGTCTTCAACAACCAATGATTGCCGCAAAAGGCGACTATGCTTGTCGTAAGAGGCAACTAATGGGATCGGGTGGTTAGGCTCGCTGACTTGGTTGAAGCATGTCATCGATCTCAATTGCGCAGATCGATGCTCATGATGTCAATCCCTGGATTGTCTGGTCCAGACTCGATTATTCACAGAGCGCCGTCATACAGCTGGAATATTGCTGAGTGTGGCGAAAAACAACAAAACAACAACAAATTATTTTGAGGAGCACAAGAAGTTGACATCTATAAATTATCTTCCTTATGTGTATCACTTCTAAATGCCTTACAAAGACCTACAAATACAATGAAAAAACCAACAGAGTGCATGTCATTTGAACATCGCGACTCAGATAATGATCTCAGGCTAAATAATCTTCATAACCATAGCAACTCTTTCTGCCGATTTATTTAACACAGTTGAAGAACTTTGAGCTTAAAGGGGCAAAAATGCACTTTGGCCCTTTTTGCATATTATTACATAAATAACATCTATGAGTTCTTGTCTACCTGTAGAAGAAATATTGTATGTTTTCATTGATGCGTTTTTGAAATATAGCTACTTCAAATTCTATAAAAGGGCCAAAGTCACTTTGTTACATTTTGGCCCTTTTAGCTCTCATTTCCGTGTGTGGTTGAGACTGGTTGTCTGAGAGAGATTTTGAAAGTTTGGAACCTTATTATCATATTTCAACTATTTCAACAAAGTTGGCATTAGTTTAAATCATTTAAAAGTACTTCAATAGCATGTGTTTGTACTTTTACTAGTAGTTTATCAATCTCACATGGTAAATCTCATGCAAATGCCTGAGGGTAAAAAGGGGCCACCCTCACACAAATTACAAACATAAGTTTATTTCCTTTTTTGAATGTTTTTTTTATAACAACATATATATCTCTGCTGTCAGAATGCGTTAATGTCTAGGAATTTATCGGTGAAAAAAAAGTTCATTAACATCATAATATTATGTGTATTCATCACTTTTCTCAAAACAGACTCCACATGACATTGGCCCTTATGGCTCTAAGCTCTTCATTTTACAAGGACATGACCTGACTCCAGTACAATTAATCTGAGTGGACTATTGTGCATTATGCGCAATACACGAGCTGGTTTGAGAGGGGTTTCTCAGCTACCGATATATCATCACTGTATAGAGTGACACATGAGAATAGATGCTGAATATAACCAGCTGAATATAATTACTTAATCGTTGGTTTTCAAGGCGATACATGTTGGAGGAAGATTCCTAGAAAAGCGTGTCAGTTCTCTCATTATCTGTAATTATAACAAAAGTATATTCCCAGGCTTAATTGGGCTTTTGCCTCGTTAATCACATGGGACTGATAGTAGAGATGGCATTGACAAGTAGCTTGTATGGGATAAATACCGTGTTTTCCGTCAGAACATTTTGTAACCATTCTTAGATATGACACTTTTCGTTGTCACAATTGACCAGAGATGTATGTCAAACGTATTGAATAGAGTTGACTTTTTGAAAATGATGTTTCAATTATATAATTTGTGTTGTGAAAATATAATGAATCAAGCTTACACTGTCCTTCCCCGGGCATTGATTTCTGACTGATATGCTTCCGAAGCGGACATTGTGTCTAATTACAGTTTAACAAATTGTTGCGTCCGTTTATGCTGCAGTACTCGCTATGAGATATTAACACATACTATTTTAATTGCACTGATCTGTGACGAGACTATTCTAGTTTCGTGAACCTATCTACGAGGGTGGCATTAACGAATAATTGACGATCGAACTTGTCTAAATTGAATTAAGATATGCGAATACCATTACGCAGACATCGCCGAATGTCCTTATTTAAGTTTTGTTATCAGCTGTTCCCTGTGCTGTGACATATGCACCCAAAATATATAATGACTTGTAGAGTTAGTTGGCTTTAACATTGGTTCCATACGAATAGGACATTGTATATTGGACGCTGATAGTACATTGTGTACTCGACACTGATAGACCATTGTATACTGGACGCTGATAGGACATTGTGGACTGGACGTTGATAGGATATTATGTACTCGATACTGATAGACCATTGTATACTGGACGCTGATAGGACATTGTGGACTGGACGTCGATAGGACATTGTATACTGGACGCTGTTAGGACCTTGTGTACTGGACGCTCTTAGGGCATGGTGTACTCGCCACTGATAGGACATTGTATACTGGACGCTGATAGGACATTGTATCCTGGACGCTGATAGGACATGTTGTACTCTACACTAATAGGACATTGTGTACTTGACGCTGATAGGACATCGTGTACTCGTCACTGATGGGACATTGTATACTGGACGCTGATAGGACATTGTGTACAAGACGTTGTCAGGACATTATGTACGCGACACTGATATGACATGGTGTACTCGACACTGATAGAACATGGTGTACTGGACGCTGATAGGACATGGTGTACTCGACACTAATAGGACATTGATACTGGACGCTGATAGGACATCGTGTACTCGACACTGATTAGGACATTGTATACTTGACGCTGATATGACATTGTGTACTGGACGCTGATAGGACATTGTGTACTGGACGTTTGATAGTACATGTTGTACTCGACACTGAAAGGACATCGTGTACTGGACGCTGACAGGACATGGTGTACTCGACACTGATAGGACATTGTGTACTGGACGCTGTAAGGACATTGTGTACTCGACATTGATAGGACATTGTGTACTGGACGCTGATAGGACATTGTGTACTGGACGTTTGATAGTACATGTTGTACTCGACACTGAAAGGACATTGTGTACTGGACGCTGACAGGACATGGTGTACTCGACAATGATAGGACATTGTGTACTGGACGCTGACAGGACATGGTGTACTCGACATTGATAGGACATTGTGTACTGGACGCTGTAAGGACATTGTGTACTCGACACTGATAGAACATTGCATACTGGACGCTGATAGAACATGGTGTATTCGACACTGATAGGACAAGGCCATGGTGTACTCCACACCGATAGAACATGGTGTACTCGACACTGATAGGACATTGTGTACTGGAAGCTGTAAGGACATTGTGTATTCGACACTGATAGGACATTGAATACTGGACGCTGTAAGGACATTGTGTACTCGACACTGATAGAACATTGCATACTGGACGCTGATAGAACATGGTGTATTCGACACTGATAGGACAAGGCCATGGTGTACTCCACACCGATAGAACATGGTGTACTCGACACTGATAGGACATGGTGTACACCGATAGGACATTGTATGGTGTACGCTGTTAGGACTTCGTGTACAGCACGATGATAGGACATTGTGTACCAGACGCTGAAAGAACATTGTGTACTCGACACTGATAGGACAATTTGTGCTGGACACTGACTGGACATTAGTTCCTCGTGTAGGATAATGATCAATTGTAGTGAGTTGTCCTTTGACATTAATTCCTTGTACTGACTATTCTAGTTCACTGGACATTAGCTACCATTGTCCAGAACTACTGCCCAAGGATATGTCCGCAGGACGTTGAGTAAGTAAGGCGGTGGCGTCTACGACATCGATACACAAGAAAGAGATCGTCGTCTGTGCGAAATATGAATAAACGACTGAAATCAGCTGATAGTCAGTGATGGAGTGCACATGCTGCACACAAAACGACACATAAAAGTACAAACAAACATTGATTGCTATCAAATGCTCAGACAACATTTAAAAACCCCAACTATCTTGAAGGATAAGATTACATAAAACCATCTGCCACATTTATATCAATATTTTCCGACACGAAACGTATATTGAAAATCTGTAAAAATCCAAACATTGTGGATCCATTTCATCTCTAGCTCAAGTGATGAGTTCTAGCAATGAGTTTCTAACAAAAATATGTTGCCACAAATATTACCTAAGACACGTTTTGCAACACATCATGCGTTTTGACCGACCATCAGAGCATGTGTTGTTGAGACGACGATGTAAACACCCAGCCATGCCGTGCCTCATTCTGAAGTTCACTCGTACTAAACATCTCAGCAAATACCACACAGAAAGGGACATTCAGACGGTACGTTGACGTACAGTTGGCAGTAGGACAGCCGGTAGAGGGTGCAGTGAAACGGGTCCTTTGCTGGGCAGTTGGCTGTAACAGAAGGTTTCATATGAATGACTCAGGATGTTCTTCAAATGATGTTACCGTTTTTCGTTTTCTTAGAGCCAAAAGGCTCCCGCATGAATGTGCAGTAACCAACACTCAAATATAACGCTGTAACATTGTAAGCCTAGTTCCTCTTTTATGTTGGCATATCTCTAATAGTGTAAGGCTCTAACAGGAAAATGAAATATAACGATGATCCTGTAAATATCCTATAATGATGCGTTTTTCTTGATATAATCTTCATCTTATTCCACCGAAAAGACATGGAAGAGATCTTATTTGAAAAGCATAAGGCCGTATTTACAATCTTGTTGTTCATTGATCATTAAATTCAACAATTTTAAACATTATTTCGAATTTACACATTTAGCTCTTTACGATATAACAATGTAGAGATTGTTGAATATATTACCAGTCTGGCATGTCGTTCCGGCATATGGCGTTTTGCATGTGCATTTGCACGTGTCTGTATCCAAACGTCCACCATTCAAACATTCCTTTCCCCCGCATGGTGCTGAAAGTCACATTTTACATAACGTAAGTCTAGTATGAGTCACATGTTTATCTCTAGAGTGAAAATGTCAACTTTTCACGTCAATGGAAGGGTTGTTATGCAGGTTGACAAGAAAAATCAAATATATTCGTTTTGAACTTGCGTACTGATCTTATAAAGGCAGACTTAACGTTTTGAATTACACGCCACGACTTGTCATTAAGACTGTAGTTGTCGGGACTTGATAATCCGCCTAGAAGCCTTGTGAACTGTTTGACATGGCTACTGACATCCCTATTCGAATGACCAGCTGATGACACATTCCCGTCACCACCTGATGTTATTACACAATGTGTTATTAAACAGTTGTACCTGAACGAGTGAATTAAAAATAAAACATGTAACAAAATAATTTGACGAGAAAACCTAATGTTCTATCTCTTAAGTATTTTCTGTCTGAAATTAGTTCGGGATAAATGGTTATATCACTCCAATAATATATATACTTTTTGTTGTCAGATAAATATAGTATTTCATCACTATACTCATGATCAATCGTTGTATCATGTTCCCTAATAACATATTAAGCTCCTATCGTATGGCATGCCTCATTTTCTCAAATATGCAATTTTGAAATCAAGTATCCAGTTCTCGAAGGCGAAGTGCAACATCTGTGTATTTGTCTGTCCTGCAGCACGAGGATGTGTTGCTCACGGTCACGTAGATATTATTCAACACATCAGTCGTTGATACAAACGACATCAGATGCAGCTGTTCTTGGTTCCAGTCATTTATATATTTATCTTTTAAAATCGCATCTCGATTTAATTATCTGACAACACATATTTGTTTTTTGTTTACAACTCTAATGATAAACACATACTTATTCTGCTGTTCTATGTCAAATGATGTGAACCAGTATTTATGCCCATGTAGAATAACATTCACCACCAGACCCGTAACAAAGAATGATGAGATCTGATTGGTCCACGTGATCTTGATAATATACTATGTACCCGCCTTGGAAAGAAATCATTTTCTCAGCGGGTGAATAAATCCCTTATACCCCACCACGAACAAGACAGGCTGCACGTGGATTTCTAAGAGGTAGATAAATCCCTTTTACCCGCTTCGATGCAAAATTCCGCACCCTTTTTCCGAGTCAATGAAAGCCACAAGACAGCACAAGTTGTTTTCTATCAATTTTAAATTTGTTTTAATTCTTTTATAATGTCATTAAAACATGTAGATTAGATAAATTCGTTGTAGCAGGATCAGTCGGGATACATGGGGTTTTGAGGTTTTTAATATTCTAATGTGACCATAAATTGCGTATGTATGTGTTACCCGGCAAGCCTTGGTCTCGAAATTCTCTCTTAACGCCGAAGCCCGGGTTCGATTCCCCTATATGAGTTCAATGTGAAAGCGGACCGCCTCCGTGGTCTACTGGTAGAGCGTCCGCCCGGAGAGCGGAAGGTCCGGGGTTCCATCCCAGACCGTGTCATACCAAAAGACGTTAAAAGATGGTACTTGTTGTTACCCTGTCTTGCGCTCTGCATTAAGGGGCTAGAACAAGGACTGGTCGGCACGGAGTCAGTATACTGTGTCTGAGTGGGGTATTCATGTTAAACTGCGGCATGGTATATCAGTGAGCTAGCACTATAAATCGGCATCAGTCCAGACTAGTACAAGCAGCCACACACACACACACACACGTACATGCACGTCGCTAAATGAGTGCAATAATCAATTTCACCTCACCTCACCAATGTGTAAGCCATTCCTGCTGCTCACTGTGGTACCTCAATCATTTTGGTAGACAAGTGTAAACTGTTGAAGTGCTGCCTGTACTAGTATTTTGGCAGTGTATGGAGTGGACCTCAATTTACCTAAGGGGTAATCTTGTAACTTGTGGCGACCAACCCGTTTACTTCTCCAACTTGTCAGCTATGTGGGTCTGCTGCTGGGAACTTACGGAAGAATACTTTTCCGCAACGGTTAAAAACATACTGAAAGGATTTTCACATGTAAGTAAGGCTAGATTGATACAAGCACTAACCATCACAGAGCCCACACATTACGGGGCAGTAGTCTGTCTTGATGTTGTAGAACTGCTGGCAGTGATCACAAGTGATCTGACTCCCGCCCATACTGGCACACAGCGACATATCGTTACCATCGTCCCCATACTCTCGACACTCCGCTGGAACAGACGTGGTTGGAAGACATTATTTAGACAGGTTTACTACAAGGAGATACTGTTAAGGAAAAGCATGACACGAGTCGTTATGTCGAATCAAATCGTTTATAAACCGGTTTTAAAAGCGCTCGTCTTTCTGAACTGATAGAGTAGTAGAAACGATACAACTAACATTACTGGAGAAATTTTCTATATTGCTCACGTTAACTAGCAATAAGATAGTTGATGGACAACACAACTTGACGCAGCCTACATTATATCCCGTTGAAAAAAAATTGATCTTGTTATATATAAACCAGTCTGTGTGCGCAATGCGCTACTGACTAATGTTCTCAATAAATGTAGATAGAGGTTATTCAAGGTATCGGTGATTAAGTAGACAATACAAATCATTTGGCATAACATAATAAATGGGCGATTCACTCAAACACTTTACTCAGTCTTGCTTATTTACAGACCGCCGTTATATATCTGGAGTAGGGTGATATCACAAGTACATCTATGTACGTGCGCAATCTTGCATTTGACTTGGGAACGATAGACAATATCGGCAAAAAAAGATGGCTTGTTTTTCTTTTATTCTCAACATTCGTCACCTAATGTTAACAATGAATAAAACTTCAAAGTACGTCAGTATGTAGATTCATATTTCTTCATTTCTTTTATATTAAACCGTCCGATTTAAAACAAAAACAATTATAACAGCAAATGTTAAACATTTTGTTTTGACGACTGAAATCACTCTCCGTAACCAAGTAAATATGGACATAAAAGACTCATACAGTCATGGATAATTGATTTTCCGTTTACCTTTAGATGCTCTGTTTCCTGCGTAGACACAGCCAAACGCTGAGGTGAATTCCCCTGAAGATGGCTGTACTACAGCTGTTGGTTGCACTGGGGATGCTTGGTCCGACGGAGTGATGCGGACAGCTGCTGCTGAAGCAGCTGTGGTATTTGAGGAAGGTGATCCTAAAATATGACACAGTTGTAGTTTGAAGTAAGTAACGTGTATGCATGGTACAAAGTGGGATGTTGACGCATAATTCATGAGTGAATACAATATATAAAATTATTGAATTATCTGTACTTCGGGAGAGTGCCCAAAGAAGCTCAATGTGACATCAGCTTAAACGATATCGAGATAATGGAGAGAGAAATAACACATAATGTACATACCATATAGAAAATTTACAGCATAGAATTGTGCGTGGGTGAGTTTGGTGTAACGCCGCATTGAACAGTATTTCGTTTATTTCGGAACTTTTAGTATGATGCTGGTCGATTAAAACTTTAAAGAAACCCACGACACGGGGTATGGTGCGGGCAAACCTAGAACCATAATCAGGGCCAACTGGGATTTGTGTTTAATAACACAATTACTCTTAGGAAGAGATTACCGTTTTCTGGAAAATAACATTGTTCAAAATAAAATGGACCTTCATTCATAGTAAAACATCTTCTTCGTCCATGTGATTGTTTGCGTTTTAAAAATGAGCTTTTTCACTGATCTTGCGCACGCGAGATGTGGACATTTCCGCTTATCAAGCCTCCATGTCAGAATAATGAGATCTGATTGGTCCACGTAATCCTGATAAAATACTATGTATCCCGCCTTGGAGGGGAAAAATTGCTTAGCGGGGGAACAAATCTCTTATACCCCACCACGAGCAAGTCAGACTGCACGTGGATTTCTGAGAGGCAGAATAAATCCCTTATACCCTGCTTCAAAGGAAAAACAGAAAGCTATTTTCGAGTCAGTTTGGAATTTGTTTTAATTCTTTTACAATCTCATATTAAAACACGTCGGTAAGATAAATTACTTGTAGCATGATCACTCGGGGGACATAGAGTTTTTTACGTCCTTCGTAACGTTTTATACCACTTATATTGTAGTGCTGGTTAATACCGTAATGTTACGGCGACTTTTGGATGAAAGTATAAGAGACACTATACCTTCTGTAATGTCGCACGATCATCCCTGAATAACACGCCAGATGTCTACTCCGTGACTGTATCTGGTTCACTTCACAAGTTTTCTATATTTGTATTGGGTGTTAATACAACAGATCACGTATCCACGTGGGCCGTCCGACAAGAAGGTGTAGCAACCCGAGGACGGTAGCTGGCTAGCTGCACAGTATGTACACGAACTGATCACTGATATATAAATTACCTAAAGTATATACAGTAAAGTACGTTTATAACGAACACGCTTATAACGAACTGACCGATATAACGAACTTATTTTTAGTCCCGACCATTTGTTGTACAAATCCTCTATATATGCATATAACAAACTACGGTTCTTACGAACTTAAATTAGTGGTCCCTTGGAGTTCGTTATAACCGTAGTTTACTGTACTATCATATTTTGTATAAATGTTGTTATTGTACCGTTACTCGTAAGCCTTATCGCTGGACGTTATTTGTACACGTTTTATCCGTCTGTTGTAATCAGTATCTATTGTAACCAACCTATTGGTTTATGATTAATGACAACTGCAACGCATGCTTAGTAAACATACTATTTCACACCATTAACAATATGTCGGCCGCCTTAATTTGGCTCGAGAAAGATGCGACTAACGGGATCGGGTGGTCAGGCTCTCTGACTTGGTTGATGCATGTCAATTGCGTGGATCGATGCTCATGATGTCAATCACTGGATTGTCTGGTCCAAACTCGATTATTTACAGACCGCGGTCATATAGCTGGAATAAATGAGATACCGTCCCGTTCCAGTATATTGGGGTAACTACGTCATGGCCCTGCTATTGCTATCTGTCACTGGCGATGACTGTACAAAAAGTAGTAAATAAACGTTGTGTCTGTGCCCGTCGTTATACACAAATTCGAGGTGGGTGAACAAAAAAACGTGACTGTCTTAGTTAACTGCGGCTAAACACTGTGTTTTGCATTTTAGAGGGGTCCTTATAAAGACAAATACTCAGTGATGGCATTGTGGTCGCTCCTGAAGCACATTGGGATTTCTTATCAATGTGTAAGCTTACTGATCTGCCGACCACTGTTGAAACTGCCGCAAGAAGAATACATGACGCTAAAACGCATACCTTTAATTTACTGATATGTGCGGGTTATTTCTATTTGATTCTGAAAAAAAACCGCCAAACCTAAATTACAAACAATGCGTTGCCTTGGTGTTTTCTGGCATGGTGACCATGTGTAGTTGGGACACACGGAGCCTGCACTTAACACACGTGTGAGGAATTGGGTATTGATGTATTTTTAAGACTGAGTAACGACATATATCACTTAAATATATCTGCGTGTTTGTGCATATACGGGGACATTTGGTAACTAAATTGTAGTAGTTTGTGATGTTTTTGATTTATTACTTTACTTATAAATAAAACATTTAGTGAATAGGCTCGGTTAAAACACCGTGTCAGTCTGGCAACAAGACGTCATCAAATTGCAACGATCGAAGTGATGCTTATATTTCATACGGGGCACATGTCCTTACAACACGTCGATTGTCTGCCAAACAGATTCCAAAGGCCGTACAAGGCAAAATAGCGGTGAAAAGTAAATGAAAAGATCATTGAAATTAGGGATTACATTGGTGTCCCAAGGGTAAGCTTGTCCTGTTCTACAGGCCACTCACACAATTTCCAGAACACATGCAACTGTTTGTTGGTTGCCTAACACGGCACCCAGCAATACACCCTCCGCACGTGCGTCTGTTGGTACAGAAAGAACACGTGACTCCCGGCCATCCAACCAGCAGCGACCACGCCCGGATCGAGCCCAGGCTCATCTTCAAGAACCAATCAGCGCATTAGATAGGTAACCTGTGGGTTTTGGAATGGGCCGGGTCGAAGTGGTCAAATGACCCACTTTCAAGTAATCATTGGATATGGAAAGGGTTTTGTCGCTTCATTTACAAAGTCAGCGTGTTTCATCGTCGAAGTTGGACGTTTAAGGGATAGGTGAGACGCATTTAGGGTCAGACAATAGGGTGTCTGTTGATGGTGTTTATGTGGTACGGCCATAATACATGTTGTTCAGTAAGACATGTCAACGCAAAATATGGATCGGGGGTGTTGGGTCCCTTTTAAGCGTATTACTTAGCTGACAACATATCTGTTTTAGATCTTTCATGTGGAGGTATTCTATAGTTGAAATGTTCTCATAAATTTAACCCGGTTTCGTCACTAGCAGCGTGGAATGTGGATGACGTGTAAACAAGTGATCGCCATTCAATCGTTATGATGCAATTAACAACCCCCCCCCCCCCCCCCCCCCCCCCAACCCCAGATATCCCAAATGGTTGGCTGGTTTGTTGTTTAACGCCGCACTCAGCAATATTCCAGCTATATGACGGCTGTCTGTAAATAATCGAGTCTGTGCCAATCCAGTGATTGATATCACGAGCATCGATCCACGCAATGGGGATCCATGACATGCATCAACCAAGTCAGCGAGCCTGACCACCCGATCACGTTAGTCACCTTTTACGACAAGCATAGTCACCTTTAACGGCAAGCATGGGTTGATATCCCAAATGCAATCACGCGAGAGTTATATTACAATAGTTGTATAGATTTACCAAACAATTTCGTATGAATAGGGGAAACCTCAGTCATTATATACCAATATACCAACATGACTTACCACATATCCCACACATGTAGGGGCACAGTTGGGGTACGTTGTAATATGTCCTGCAATCCTTTGGGACTAGGCTACGCCCACAGTAAAACGAATCTTTCGGTGGACAGTTCACTGCAAGCACAATTAATAAATTAATAAAAAAATATGCCAATCGAGTCTGGACCAGACAATCCAGTTATTGATATCATGAGCATCGACCAACGCAATTGGGATACGATGACATGCATCAACCAAGTCAGAGAGCCTGACCATCCGATCCCGTTAGTCGCCTCTTACGACAAGCATAGTCGACCTTACAGCAAGCAAAGACTGTTGAAGACCAATTCTACCCCGGATCTCACATGGGTACACACACTACAATATAACTTATATCTTAAGTGACCCCGTTTTAGTACCGACACCGCGAACGATTAGCGTTGGGAACGTTTTATATACCTACATCAAATTACATTATCTGTAATAATCGTTCCTTCATAACGAGGTCTGTTAATCGTGCGATGTCATTGGTGTCGATACACTTTGAATGAACAGGTTTCTTGTGTGGTAAGGCCTTAAATGGTCAAAATGATTTGTTTTTAATAGACCCGAAATTACGTTAGCAGTTTAAGCCTAAGTTAATCAAGGCCAGAGGGGTGTGTCCTGTTTTGTTCTTGGTCACTGTCAAAGTGACACGGCCTTAACACGTTGTGAGTGAGTGGGTTGGGATTAACGCCGCTTTTAACAATATTCCAGTTATATCACGGCGTGTCAGCTTAATGTGGGAGGAAAGCCCGAAATGATGCAGGTCTCAGACGTTTACCACTTCGGTGAAACCCACGAGCACAGGTATGGTGCTGACAAACCTAGAAACATAATCGGGGCGAACTGGGATTCGAACCCACAATCATACTTATTAGGCTTCTGGCGTGCCCAAGGGACGCAACTCTGCACAGCGAATCGCGGCGCCTTAGACGACTGGGCCACACTGCCCCTGTAACACGTTGTGGGTGTTAGTTCAACTGGTTAGATTGTATGATTAGTTCTCAACAAGAGGGAATCGACTTGACTGAACTTACACTGCTGGCACGTTGGGCCCGAGTACGGCTGCTGACACGTGCAAGTACATGTGTTTGTGTCTAAATATCCTCCATTGAAACAAGCCTTCCCTCCGCAGTCTGAAACAGTGTGCATCTATTATTACGGTGGCCCATAAGGGACATGGAGTGTGTTTTTCAATATTTTGATGTTTCGCTTACATTTATCGTAACCTTTTGCAAATCAACACAATTTGTCATACAAATGTGTAAAAACAACCGAAAACATTGAAAATGTACTTTCAAGTAGCTATTGAGTCGCTGAAATATGAAGCGAAACTCAAAAAATAAAATACAAATGTCAAAAACAAAAACGAAAATGTCAAAAACTAAAATGAAACCACAGACAACTATTTTTAACGCTGTGTAAATAGTTTTCACCGCGGTGTAAATATTATCAATAGTTTTTGACATTTTCGTTTTAGTTTTTGACATTTTCGTTTTTGTTTTTGACATTTTCATTTTAGTATTTGACATTTTCGTTTCTCTTTTCAGCGATTCAATATCTTCTTTACACATGATTTATCACATATTTGTATGACAAATCGTGTAAATTTGCAAAAGGTTACGATAAAAGTAAGTGAAATATCAAAATATGGAAAAACAGACTCCATGTCCCTTATGGGCCACCGTATATTATGGCTTGGTAACACACACTCACTACACATGTGTAACGACTACCGTGGGTCTAGGTACATTTAACACCAATTTCGACTTCAAATGTGCATTGCATCAGTGGAACAGGATCGACGCTTAATAAGCCCGATATACCAAGGGAATACCTGTACGTTGTGTGAAATATGGTCCTGGACTTTGGTTTGCAAATGTTGCAGGTTACTCGTTCATAACGTGTATTTGAAAATATATCAAATAACGAATGTGTTCATTACCTTTTCCCTTGGGTTTTACGCAACATTTTAAAACTGAAACTGTAAAAAATAACAAAATATCCAAACTTGTTTTTTCAGACAATAGATGACTTACCACAAAGTCCATCCTTACAAGTGTTTGGACAGGAACTGCATCTTGTTCCTCTCGTGTAAGGCTTGGAAATTCGGTTTTGGCTGAGAAAGAAATTTGTATAAGACTGTAAAGTCTGAGGAACAGAATTGTTGAAAATCACAACGGGATTTGGCAAACAACGCGGACATGGAATTCTTTCTGTAACCAGCCAGTCTTTAATTTATGCGATATTGACGGTGGTTCGATTCCCGTCGCGTCACACCAAAAGACGTTAAAATATGGTACTTGTTGTTTCCCTGCCTGGGGCTCGGCATTAAATGGGTAAAACAGTATCAGTATCAGACTCGGAATCAGTATACTGTGTCTGAGTGGGGTATTCATGTTAAACTGCGGCGTATATCAAACGGCACGTTGCTCTATCTCAATAATATTGAGCGCACCGTCAAACCCTAATTCACCCCACCTTCACTAAGGTGACAACGGTCTACGGCTTGCTTGTATAGGACATGCTTGTCATTTTCTCCAACACCAGTGTCATCCCTGATTTTCAGTGATCCATTCATAAACTTGTCATCACTATTTTGTAATTCACACCCTCTGGAATCTATATCGACATTATATTAGAGACAAAATATTTTCCGGCGTCGACGTTGTTACGTTGGCCCGACGTCGTTACGTTGGCCCAGTCACGCCGCCACCTCCCTTTCCCTTTCATTAAGGCAAAACAGAGTTGTCTCACCCTGATCCATAATTGCAAACGTAGTATCTTCCAAATTTCGTGTTGGGGCAATGGGCATAGCCACATCCTATTAGGAACGTGACGTTCTGAACAATCTGTAGAAAACAAAATGTGGTTAAATACTATTGTAAAAGAGAATACACACTAAGTATCATAACAACGTACATTTAACTGGCATAGAGAGGGAAACCTGGTTCCCGTTCTGCTAGCAATAAGAATCTTCAGTTCACGATTGATGTAAAGTTGTCTCCATGAAATGTAAGTATAAGAAACGGGTGTGTCAGTTTTTTTTAAATTGTTGTTATAGACACAACGAAAAACGTTAAGCACCACCGCTTGTTAATTTTATAAAAAATAATGTGCACTGGTGCAAATATCATGCTTGCTGTAAAAGGCGACTATGCTTGTCGTAAGAGGCGACGAACGGGATCGGATGGCCGGATGCGTCTTGGTTGATGCATGTCATCGCGTCCAAATTGCGTGAATCGATGCTGATGATTGACCACTGGATTGTCTGGTCAAGACTCGCTTATTTACAGACCGCCGTCATGTAGCTTGAATATTGCTGAGTGCGGCGTTAAACAACAAACGAACAAAAGAAACAGATATATATGACATTAAGTACTGGCGTTAAAACCAGTATGTCCGATGGAAAGACGTTTCTCGCCCAGTCTAGCGAGTGCAGATGTACAATACGGAATTTCACGTACAAGTTTCATTTGTACCCGACCCATTTAAGTATGTGAACACATGCAAAATTGTACCTGTGTGTAGTGCCCGATCTTTTTCCATCCATCTCTGCCCAAGTAGCCATTCGGGTTCTGGCCAAATCGATACAAGCTTACTTCGTTATACCACGCCATAATGGCGGTCCGCCAGTTCAAATACCCTCCTGCAATGTTTTGTCCAACCTCAAGTCCATATTCTGAAAAAAAGTCAAATGCACTTCTGTCGATTTATTTAACAAACAATATCACAAAACACATCTTGTTCTATTGCAGCCCATGGTAACAGGGGGGCACGGGGGGCCCAGTCGTCTGAGGCCCCGCGATTCCCTGTGCAGAGTTGCGTCCCTTGGGTTCTAATCCAGGTTCGCCCCGATAATGTTTCTAGGCTTATCAGCACCATACCCGTGCTCGTGGGTTTCACCGAAGTGGTAAACGTCTCAGACCTGCATCATTTCGGGCTTTCCTCACACATTAAGCTGACACGCCGCGATTTAACTGGAATACTGTTAAAAGCGGGGTAAAACCCAACTCACTCACTCACTCACTCGATGGCTAAAGTTCGAGGTGTTCATGATTAGACGAACCCCCTTGGCTAATTGACAACATATAAGAATCTAAATAAATGCGAAAGAAACATTCCATTACTAAAAGCACATTCCTTAGCACGGGTGCCAGCTTTCGAGAATATAAACACATGTTTGTCATGTATTCGGGCTGTTCATAGGCGTCATCATTACCATGACGTCACAATCAAATGACGTCACAATCACCTCATCACTGGAGCTGGTGAGCTGTACCCTTTTGCACTGGCCAATACTGTCAGAGACTGAACACGTCGGAAGAAGGATTTAAGAGGACAGAATCTCTCCCGAGTGTCTTTTGATTTCAAATAGTCAGCACTCGTCAGTAATTAAACGCCTCGGATTTATAAACTTTTATCGACTATTGTTGATATATTTGATATCAAGAGACTCACGGGCGAGATTCGCTCTGTGGATGACACATTCATTGCTTGTGATGTTTATGGAATTGAGGAGGAGTGAGTGAGTTGTGTTAACGCCGCTTTTAACAATAGTCCAGTTATATCGCGGCGTGTCAGCTTAATGTGGGAGGAAAGCTCGAAGTGATGCAGGTCTCAGACGTTTACCACCCACGAGCACGGGTATGGTGCTGACAAACCTAGAAACATAATTGGGGCGACCCGGGATTCGAACCCACAATCATACGTTTCTGGCGCGTCCAGGGGACGCAACTCTGCACAGCGAATCGCGGCGCATTAGACGACTGGGCCACCCGTGCACCCCGAATTGAGGAGGAATATACCGGGTATGCTTTTCATGTTGTCGTGTTCCATCTTGCACTGCCGCGCCCATTTTTCCGACACAGCTGCCAGCTTGGAATCCCAGACCTGTAGTAGAGTACACGATACTGTAAACCTCATGTATCATAACAAATAGTATACATGAATACAAGCAGACTGGAATCTGTTTCGGTAGATAATCGATAATCGATAAGCGCTGGTGTAGACATTTCGTGTGTTAATGGTTATTTGCAAAACCCACGCAACAAAATCATGACAAACAATTGAAGAACTACTGCCGAAAATCTATAAAATTATAAATCTAATGCGAAGATTGGAATCTGTTTCGGTAGATAATCGATCATCGATAAGCGCTTGCGTAGACGTTTCGTATGTTCACAACAACGCAAAAGTGTGTTAATGGTTATTTGCCAAACCCACGCAACAAAATCACGACAAACAATTGAAGAACTACTGCCGAAAATCTATAAAATTATAAATCTAATGTGAAGACTGGAATGTGTCAGATGCATGGGTCTTGCGTAAAACGGATTGTGTCTTTAATAACTGATGGAGAAGATATTTCATATTGATATTTTTTCAACAGTATCACAAGATGTTTCCAGGAAACTAAAAGCTTTGAATTTATTACACATTGACATATAACAATTTCACAAAAAAGAGACCCTCGAAGATCCGGGTTAGAATAGGTCTTCAGCAACCCATCCTTGTCGTAGGGGGCCACTATGTTTGACGTAAGAGGCGACTAACGGGATCGGGTGGTCAGGCTCGCTGACTTGGTTGATGCATGTCATCGTTTCTTAATTACCTACATCGATTCTCGTGATATCAATCACTGGATTGTCTGGTTCAGACTCGATTATTAGACCGCCGTCATATAGCTGGAATATTGCTGAGTGCGGCATTGTACAACACACAAACAAACCAAACACAGAGAAGATGTATAGATACACGCTAAATGCACCTCACGGTACAGTAATATCAGAATCCAAAGCTTTATCAAATTTATACACTTAACGCATGTATGCTATTTAATTTGAATTTTTTTAAGAAATCAGGTTATATTTACTCCAATTTATTTTTGACATCAACATGCACTGTAATTTCTCTCTCGCTTGTGGAGGGAGTTTGTAGGATTGCGTCAATGCCACCCTCGGGAATAAACCACTCATTTCACTGAAAATATATAATCGTATTACTTCGCTGCTCAATGGCTATTCAATTCCAAAAGCTAACCAATCAGAACACTATCAAGCATAACGGATTCTTACAAGTTTTCCAAGATCAGTAGCGGGCGGTTCTACTCTGCCTCTCAGTTCATTGTGGAGAGTCACGATGTCCTCCCGGTCTTGCGCAGCAACACCGTATGACGTCACTTCCGAGTTGTCTTGCAGACACATGGTATGTCCTCTGATGGCGGCATACTCCGTGGTGCATGTGTCCTAAAATCATTGTACATATTTAATGATTTCAGCAGTGTGTCGCTGTGTCTAGCACACTAGCGCGGCGTTCATATGACACAAAACATGTCGGTGTGATTGGCATTCGTGACCAACTCGTGTTATTCCGGGACAAGCCGAATAGCGACTCGTGCCCCTCTCATTTTTGCGACCGGGTTCCGTCTTAGCGGAATGGTTCATGTATATTTCCCCATATATTATATATATTTCAGATGCAAATTAAACAGATCGGAAGGTGCGGAATTATACGGTGTGATTGAAAACATTTAACTGTGTCTTGGGTATATTTTTAGATGCAAGACATATGTAAAATCAAAAATTATTTCCGAGGGATTCTTTGACGAAGAACTCGAAATCATACGCGCATTCTGACTGGTATGTCGTATTTTCGCACATAACATTCATCGATAGGGGGACGAGTCTTCTTGCAGGGTACGGAAAGGTGGCGAGTGGTGACGAATGTGAGATTGGGTAGGTTGGGTAAAACAGTATTCGAGGACGGTGAGATACCCTTGTGGTCAAAGCGTTCGCTCGTCGCGCCTAAGACCCGGGTTCGATTCCCGACATGGGTACAATGTGTGAAACCCATTTCTGGTGTCCCCTGCCGTGATAGTGCTGGAATATTGCTGAAAGCGGCGTAAAACTATACTCACTCACTCATTCAAGGTATATCACGACGTGTTAGCTTAATGTGGGAGGAAAACACGAAGTGATGCAGGTCTCAGACGTTTACACTTTGGTGAAACCCACGAGCACTGGTATGGTGCGGTACTGACAATCCCAGATACATAATCGGGGCATTCCGGGATATTGGAACCCATAATCATAGGTGTCTGGCGTTCCCACGGGACGCGACAGTGTAATGCGAATTAAGGTGCCTTTAACGACTATTATTATTAATATAAATTGTGTTACCTGTGTTCGCTTTGGACGACCTACTTTCTTCTTTGGGAGCGTGACGTCATGGGGCGAGTTATTCAGTACACCACTGTGTCCCGGAAAGACAATGTCGGAGACAAGATTGTCGTGGCCATCTCCTGTAATTTACAGAATAGTGATGAAGCAGAAGATACACCCCAGGCAACCTCTTACATCAGGTGCGGCATCGATGTGCAAGATTGAACTTTCGCAAATAGGCTCATTTTTATCATAGAATAGAATCAAACGCAGTGTTGTCGATGCGAAAAAACAATCCGATAAACTTGGCATTGCCATCCGAAAATATGCAAATAAGGCCACAAGGCAGGGAATATAGTTTCAACAAGCAGCATCCATTGATTCGATGCCTATTTACTGGAAGTTACATTGTTCCCGGGGCGGTCGGGTAGCCTAGTGGTTAAAGTGTTCCCTCGTCACGCGGAAGACCCGGGTTCGATTCCCGACATGGGTACAATGTGTGAAGCCCATTTCTGGTGTCCCCCGCTATTGTTCCGCTATTGTTCCCATAATGTTTAGATATAGGTTTCTTCACGCTATGTAAATAAACATGGTAGCAAGTTTCACTCAGGCATTGTTTTCTTGTATGCGCGGTTTCTGAAGTATGATTTGAACTTCGTTTATGTCACGAGTGACATCATATGATGAAGACATTTAGACCCTTATGTGATTCCTTCTCGTAAATACAAATCTTTGTATGTCACATATAACAAAGATATATGTACATTTATTCCTGATATATGATAACAGGCTTCCACAGGATATCTCAGTTGATACATACAAGAGCTATATGCTAGGGTAGATATCTACAACGAGATTGCTTCACAATGCTTTGCAGACCATTGTGACATCATCGTTACCATGACGTCACAATCAAATGACATCACTAATATATCTGCCATAATACTAAACGAGCCCCCGTGTGTTACCAATTTTATGAAACGAGTGAATAGTTGTGGTATCTGACTCTTGCGCTACAATACGATCGCCTTGTAGAACGGGGCCTTGCACCTCAAAGTTTACAATCACGTCTCAATACCCGATAACGTAATTTGTGGAATTTTCATCGGCGCAAAAATGCCATGTGACGTCAGTCTAGCAACAAGGTTGCATAAGGTGTGCATAAGTTCCTCTTAGTGATCTATCATCTCCACACGCAATGTCGTTGAATAAGCCAAGGGATGTTGAGAGCTTTCAATATTTGTTCGTGAAACGTGTTCCGAGAGTACATAAGCACGCGTTTTGGTATTACACAATGTGTAATACAGCTGTATGTTTATTAAACGGGTGATCTCTTCACGGGCTAGTTACAAATAGCAGTATTCTGTAAACTCAAGACGATAATTAGTCCTGTTTGCAAACTGAATAAAGTTGGAAGAATGATTTGGGATGGTAACTAGGTTTCATCCAAATATATTTTGCTATCAAGTATACGACACGACTCGTGTTGATATAGTTGAAGTCAAAGACACTCGGGTAAGATTCGCTATATATTTACATACAAAAAAAAACTCGGCCAATAATCAGCTCTTACAGGTAGCATCAGGCGACAATACATATTGACTTGTTTTTCGCAAGTAGTCGTTTATACATATCGATGACAGTTGGACATTTTGCAAAGACATCAGCACATTTTGGAAAAGAATGAAATCTGTAATAATTTGCAAAATATTGTTTCATATTTGAATGGTTGTGATATACAAAAAAGAAGATAAATGTATTAGGCATGTCTATTCAAAACACCTTCAACAGGGCATGCCTTTCTGTTTAGAGCAGCGCTTGTGATTTGATCAGTTTCGGCGTGTCAGTTTAAAGAGGCAGGGCCCAAGTATTGGGTTACCACTCGTGAAGGCCGCAGTCCGCGGCTGTTGCTGCCACATCAATGATGTCTGGGCCAATCTAGAATTTGATCATTAAGAGAGAGAGAGAGAGAGAGAGAGAGATAGAGAGAGAGAGAGAGAGAGAGAGAGAGAGATGGTTTAACGCCGCTAAGTGCATTATTTCAGCTATATAGCGGTGAGTTTAAGTGAAATAATTGTAAACCCAAATGGCAAAATCCAGTTATACTTCCTTAACGCTGTAAACGCGAAAACGTCGATGTTTTCCTAATGAGATGTAAAGGTTTGGGGCGCATTTTCAACATTTTGAAGTGTCGTTGTTGCACAGAAAAGGTGTCGCATTTGAGCGAGCTTTTTACTTGAATGTCTCCAACAATAATGCTGCTGCTCTCTGAGCTGGTTCAGTGTAGTGTTGTAGAACTGCAGGATCATATGTCGTGTCGACCATAACTGTAGTGTGAATGTCAATTGAGGTGTAACATAAATGTCGAAAGTGATTTTTCAAAACACTGCTACCCCAATATTTGATTTTTCTGCAACACAATGGTTTTTTTTTATGTGTGCTTGTAAAGGACATAGAGTGTGTATGGACCTCAAAATCCGTGTGCATTTAAATACCTGGGAATAACTTTGATGAACACATTTCGTGCACACAAAGTGATAAAGTGACAACTCTCTGACGATAGTGTGCTATATCGACTCCCATGTGAGGTGAGGTGAAATGGGGTTTAGCGTCGTGTCCAAGATTATTTCACTAATATATCGACGCGCGCGCGCGTGCGCGCGTCCGTGCATGCACTTTCTTCTGTAGATTATAATGTCGTATAGGTAGATGAAAGTAACTTCTGCCTCGATGTGAGGCGTATCATCGAAAGAGCAAGACTACGTGTTTCCTGGCGTCGACATGTTATATTATATTCTACAATAAATAGGGGGCACGGGTGGCCCAGTCTTCTAAGGCGCCGCGATTCGCTGTGCAGAGTTGCGTCCCTTGGGCACGCCAGAAACCTGTGATTGTGGGTTCGAATTCCGGTTCGCCCCTATTATGTTTCTAGGTTTGTCAGCACCATACCTGTGCTCGTGGGTTTCACCGAAGTGGTAAACGTCTGAGACCTGCATCACTTCGGGCTTTCCTCCCACATTAAGCTGATACGCCGTGATATAACTGTAATACTGTTAAAAGCGGCGTTAAACCCAACTCACTGACTCCGCAATATATAGTTTTAATTAGATTCAAACATGGTTACATCTTCCCTATAGATGATAAACAGACGGATACGAAAATATTATATAAACCAAATGGAACGTTATTGGTATAATTATATATGTACGTCATTGGCAGAGCTTCAAGCTGACCTGATTTACTCGTGCCCCGACCTTGTCTGAATCAGTGTAATGCCCCATCGGTCAAATAAGACTTGTTGTGTGGAACAGGTAGAGAAGAAAATGAAATTAATTACGTGTCATGTCGCCTAGGAATGCCCAGGTGTCTGAAATAAACTTCAAACAGCCTTTGGTCGAGTTGTATACACGACGACGTCAACATGTGTCGTACGTTACGTGTTCAGGTTCACGGCGGGGGCAAGGCAAGGAGAGAGCGAGTTGGCGATATATTGGCGTAATTGTAACATTGACGTATGTTAAAAGGTTCGTATGTTATAACCTATGTTTCCGTAAGTCAGTAACTCGGGAAAAACATGTTTGGGTTAATAGTTAAAGGGTGTGAGTGAGTTGGGTTAACGCCGCGCTGAACAAAATTCTAGTTATATCACGACCAGCAGCTTAATGTGGGAGAAAAGCCAATGGATCCTGTTCAGTGCAATGCTCCTCCGAACACACTACGAGTGATGCTATACGCATTCACACTATGGAGATATGTAATGGCAACGCAGAAGAGGGAAGGGGAGGTGGTTTGTGAGGCCAGTCGATGGTGAGGGAGTGAGTATGGTTTTACGCCGCTTTTAGCAATATTCCAGCAATATCACGGCGGGGGACACCAGAAATGGACTACACACATTGTACCCATGTCGGGAATCGAACCCGGGTCTTCGGCGTGACGAGCGAACCCTTTAACCACGAGGCTACCCGACCGTCCCTCCATGAGATGATCTTGAATATGTCTAAGACAGCAAATTGAAAAGATAAAAAGTGTAATTTGGAGATTGACATGTTAAGATTAAATATGGCAAACACATTCACCATTTTATGAAGTATTGTGGTTTTATTCTAACGTTTAAAGACAGGGTTTTGAGGGATTGAGATTGAGAACAAAAAACGTATGATCCAAAAATGATCCAAAATCATCTCGATCGGTTCGATTAAACAATTATGATTACGTAAAATCAAAGAGCATAACAACTGGATATATCATTAAAATGAACACCTAGCAAACAACACTTTGGATTCTGGATCTAGTCGGGACAAATAATATAAATTACTTATTGAACTTATGTCGTACACACTATGCGTAAATGTTTTATTCAAGTGAAAGTAAGATGGTTTGCCTCGACAGGTGTGGAAGCCAAATTGTCTAGCCTACAAACTTAGACCGCTATAGCAGCGTGGTTGAGCGAATGCATGTTGATTTACGCCGGGACAGCAATATTCCATCTTATAAAAGCGGTCTGTAAATAGTCGCCACTTCACCAAGGAAAATAACATGCCTCGATTATCCACCGAAATCTGTCATTGCGGTAAAATGTATCTGGATTTCTGAAAATCACCACTGAAACCCGGTGTTCGCATCAACAAAGGTCCATGCCACTGCTGTACTGTGCGACATAATTAGCCAATTGGGACATTTTAACCACCCGAACCTCATATTCCATGCTCTTTAGACAATCTAGGGGTATGTTGGACTTATTCTGCTCTTGACCAGCATCGATACCCACTTCTCTACACGTCATGGGCGACTGAACATGTCAACACCGGGGCGGACAACGAACAACTAATGAGTGAGTTGGGTTCAACGCCGCTTTTAACCGTATTCCAGTTATATGACGGGGGGTCAGCTTAATGTTGGAGGAAGGCCCGAAGTGATGCGGGTCTCAGACGTTTATCACTTCGGTGAAGCCCACGAGCACAGGTATGGTGCTGACAAACCTAGAAACATAATCGGAGCGAACCGGGATTCGAACCCACAATCATAGGTTTCTGGCGTGCCCAAGGGACGCAACTCTGTACAGCGAATCGCGGCGCCTTAGACGACTGGGCCACCCGTGCCCCCAAATACTTATGAAAGATGAATGAATGTATAGATACTGCTTTAAGACGCACCTTGTATTTAGTTAGCGTATATATAAGTCATATCACGGCGTCTTAAAGTAATCTTTCTGGGCTTAACTAAACAGGGACACACAACCAACACCGGTCCAGCCCGTCGGGGTAACAGGCCACACAAGCAAACACATATCGTGGCCAGACCATCTTCCGTCGTCGGAAATACAAATATGACTTAACGATGTAATTATGCAATAAAAAAGTTCAATGTGCAGATACTATATGTCATCGAAATAGATACCATAACCCAAAGTAACGGGGAAACTGTCCGGGAACAAATAGTCCTGCGAGGTTGTGTTGATGCTGGTCCAAAGACTTATTATTAGTGACAGTGACCTCGTGATCGGACAGCCAAAAGATTACGGTGAGGTGAGGTGAAATGGGGTTCAACGTTGGGAACCCGGCTGCGTCATAACAAAAGACGCTAAAATATGGTACTTGTTGTTACCCTGTCTGGCGCTCGGCTTTAAGGGGCTAAAACCAGGACTGGTCGGCTCGAAGTCAGTATACTGTGTCTGAGTGGGGTATTCATGTTAAACTGCGGCATGGTATCTCAGTGAGCTAGCACTATAAATCGGCATCAGTCCGGACTAGTACAAGCAGCCACACACACACACACGTACATGCACGTCGCCAATAAGTGCAATAATCTTGGACGCGACGTTAAACCCCATTTCACCTCACCTACAACGTGTCCAACGTATCCAACGAACGAAAGCGAAACAGATAAAGTTGGGAACAATGAGTTCAGTAAATTGTTTTTTACACAGATTAAAATCGCAGCGTCTTAGGATAGTTTATCAGTCCCATGATCGAAGTGGTGCATTAATACACAACACAGACGTCTTACTACTTACATGTATACCTAGTGTGACCCTCCACAAAACGGTTTCCGCCATTTCTGTGAATTATCAAGGCAATGAGGAGAATTCAAACTGGAAAAAAACTGGAAAATATCAAAGGACGTCGATTTACGAACCCAAAACATTATTAATAATGTTTCGACACAGACGTAGGTGAATTCGACTGATCAATGATTAAAAAAAGTTACAATTTTGAAAGTAGTCCGTCATAATCTGATCTTAAGCCACAGCCCTGAAATTGCCAATCACAGATCTGGAATTCGATATCACAAACATGATTGATACCGGTTATATCGTTTTGGCCAAAATGTGTAAAACCAAGGGATATCCCTGCAATGAACATAGTGACGTCACTGTTACAAAGACGTGAGGGTCAAATTATATCAATAATCCTTCAGCTACCGAAGCTGTGTACCGTATTTACCGACCCTCAAGACACTGGCAATTCCTGTTCGGAAACGGAATAAGTTCCGATAATGATTTTTTGATGATAAGTAGAATCCATCTATCGTGTCTTTCGATATAAAATTTACAAACACTCGTCGATAAATGCATAAACTTCGAGGCAATCTTCGGAATTCTAAAATGTCATCGACTCGAGTTGATGTATTTAATCTTAAAAGATACTCGGTGAGATTCTCTCTAAATAGAGACATCCCTGTACATATTTATGAACGGCAACACGGCGTTGCATATAAATAAATACGAATAAACCGGTAGTGTACCTTTAAGCAGCCAACACATTTGACACAGGTTGGCGAGTTTGGCAAGTGTTACTCGTTATAGGGCAATGGACGGAGCTGCTCGAAGGACCTGCTTTGTGAGCGGAATTTTCCGGAATGTCAATGTGCTCATACGCGGTAAAAAAACTTTCATCACATGTGGTTATATATAGCTGAGTCATGCGAAACAGGTAAGTATTCCTGTTTGTGTACTCGAGGAAACAAGCTTAAAGTTGGCTGAAATTGAGTTTTTCTTCTCCCCGGAACCCCGCGGGCACAATAGAACACGTTCCATCAGTGTGACTTACTCACTCTCGACACTACTTAAAACAAGTTGGTGTATTTGACACCGGTTTCAAATTGTTCGCTTGAAATAAATCTGTTTCAGCATTTTCTGAGAGATTCATGATAAATAATTCGATCGAGCCTCTGCAATATAGAATGTACTATTGTAACGAACATCCTGGTCAGCCCCGGTCGTTAATACTCATCGTATGCGTATTTCTTGTTTTTTTTGTTATGCGTCTATTTTCGAATGACGTATCCAGTGTTTGTTTGACTATTATCCCAAGACCTGTGACATAGCTTTTGACTAACCTACCGACTCGTTGTATAGAAGGTGTGGCACACAACATGTACAATGTGGCGCATGCGTAACATTTGTTGTCATGAAATAATTTAGTGAGTGAGTGAGTGATTGAGTGAGTGATTGAGTGAGTGAGTGAGTGAGTGAGTGGGTGAGTGAGTGAGTGAGTGAGTGAGTATATTCCAGCCATATCACGAAGATGACACATACTACACATGTGGAGAACCGAACGCGAGCTTGCGGCGTGATGAGCGAACGCTATAACCACTAGGCTACCCAACCGTTCAATACAATCTCAACATATGCCGACCACCTCCGTGGTCTAGTGGTAGAGCGTCCGCCCGGAGAGCGGAAGGTCCGACGTTCGATCCCCGGTCGCGTCATTCCAAAAGACGCTAAAATATGGTACTTGTTGTTACCCTGTCTGGCGCTCGGCATTAAGGGGCTAAAACAAGGACTGGTCGGCTCGAAGTCAGTATACTGTGTCTAAGAGGGGTATTCATGTCAAACTTCGGCATGGTATCTCAGTGAGCTAGCACTATAAATCGGCATCAGTCCGGACTAGTACAAGCAGCCACACACACACACACACACACACACGTGTGCATGCACGTCGCTATATAAGTGTAATAAGTTTGGACTCGACGTCAAACCCCATTTCACCTAGCCACCTCACCTCAACATGTACCAGGCAATTCATGGATACGTATTGATAAAGTCCAAGCTAATGTCGAGCTAATGCCGATTTAATAGAGCTAGCCCACTAAGATACCATGTCGCAGTTTAACATGAATACCCCACACAGTAACCATTTTCTAACACCTTTTCGTATGACGCGGCCAGGGATCGAACCACCAACCTTCCGCCCTCGGGGCAGACGCTCTATCCACTAGTCCACGGAGGTTGTCCATAAATTATAGGAAATTGGACCGAGAATAAGGTAGATTATTTTATCATCAAGGGGCGTTGCTGTCCAATCATTAAAACGCTAAGTAAACTGAATACGAATTCTGTCATTGTCAATAATTTACCCGATCTAACATCATGTGAATATTATATTCCTGCTGTGCGATATTAGAAAACAATCATCTTTTTTCAGTGGCATTTAGAAGTTGGTGTGATGAAGTAAGACGAGTTCTATGGATGAACAACTTCTTTATTACAATTAGTGCGACGTTTCAGTGTAGATCCTAACACCTTTATCAAGCAAGTGATTGATAGTGCTAAACAACATAGGTATTTATACTTATTAACATCAAGGTTTATACAGTAAATGAGTGATGGACACAGAGAGCTGATTAAGATAATTGGAAGCCAGTGGATGACTAATGAACACAGAGTCATCAAGCAGACTGATAGAGATGATGGAAGCCAGTGGATTAATCGGATGGACATAGGGATTTAGCAATCATATTTGCATGTCTGTACTTATTGTCTTCACATACCGTTTGTTTGTGCATCACCGTATACCGTCGCTGGATGTAATGTAGACGTTAACGCTTTATATAAAAAAATTCGTATTTCTCAACCATTTGAGTCTATAACAATCTTCACTGAATATTTACAATTGACCTATATGTTTATATACAATAGGCATCGAGGAAATAATTGATGGATTAGTAAATATTAATAAAATAATAATTGTTCACTAATTTGACATCACCGTGGTAAGTAAATACAGTATATATGTATACAGGTAACTAACCTTTCGCTGTTCTGCGCGGTTTGGCGTTAACGCATTGCACAATGCTATAGGCAAGGCACAGAGAGAGGAATACCCTGGTCATCTTGTAGCTCCGGTCCGTCGGGAAAAAGACAAGTAACTGGTTGTTGTCTATTTCATGTGACTACACTTTTATAACCCTTGCCTGACCAGTAACGCTCCATCATTAGTTGTATAGATGAGGAACATCTTTGCAATTTACATTACATCAGCTGACTCAGCCCGGAAACAAAAGGAGACCAACATCGGCAACACATTCGAGTGTTTCCGGAAACATTCGGATTACCGCTCCCATTTGGTCTGTATTAGCTGCGTTTCTTGATAAACATATAATATATACCGCATGTGCGTCCAGTCATCGAATCTCATTGAGACGCTTCATTATTACGTTTGGCATTTCAAAAGAAATAATGAAGCGTAGGGGAAGTCCATCCCAGTGTATATTAGGTCACCTCGTCCAAACAAACGAGTGCATAGAGTAAACACGAAGAACTTGCAGGAACAACGGTAGACCATTTATAGATCAACATGTTTACCAAAACACGTTGTTTTTACGTTGTTATAGATGGCTACTATTAGCGGACTCCATGTCGGGATGTTTTGATACAGGATGTATTGTAGGTGTTCAGTAAAACTTCACAAGACGAATTAATCCGGATTAAAACAATCTGGATTATCGAACATTAGGGTATTGGGGAAGAGGGGGAGTATACTTAAGTTTCCAACTGCAACAGTTCAGAAGGTAAATATTGTCGACAACTCCATTTAACTGTAATTACATATATATCCAGTAAACTACGTTTATAACGAACACGCTAATTACGAACTGACGGATATAACGAACTGTTTTTGGGTCCCGGCCATTTGCTGTTTATAGGGTGTTTATGTGCCCATAACGAACTACGGTTATAACGAACTAAAATTAGAGGTCATCACAAACGTTTATTTTTGACAGACACACTCCTGTCTTCTTTCCTAGTCGTTATCACCTTTACAATACGGGGGCCCGCTAAGGCGCCGCGATTCGCTGTGCATAGTTGCGTCCCTTGGGCACGCAAGAAACCTATGATTGTGGGTTCGAATCCCGGTTCGCCCCGATTATGTTTCTAGGTTTGTCGGCACCATACCCGTGCTCGTGGGTTTCACCGAAGTGGTAAACGTCTGAGACCTGCATCACTTCGGGCTTTCCTCCCCCATTAACCTGACACGCCGTGATGTAACTGGAATACTATTAAAAGCGGCGTTAAACCCAATTCACTCACTCACCTTTACAATACACCACCAACATGTTCTCTCGTTTGTCATGTTACACATAGTCCTTACGTTAGCTTATTCACCCATCAACACTGTTGGCGGAATATTCCAATTATTACACATGATTTGATCCGCTGCAGAGAAGTGTTGGCGCACTGCATTTCATTCATTCATAAATCTACAACCATTCCATGATCAATAGACCGCCTTCGTGGGCTAGTGGTAAAGCGTCCGCCCGGAGAGCGGAAGGTCCGGGGCTCGATCTCCGGCCGCGTCATACCAAAAGACGTTAAAAGATGGTACTTGTTGTTACCCTGCTGTTACCCTGTGTGACGCTCGGCATTAAGGGGCTAAAACAAGGACTGGTCGGCTCGTAGTCAGTATACTGTGTCTGAGTGGGGTATTCATGTTAAACTGAGGCATGGTATCTCAGTGAGCTAGCAGTGTAAAATCGGCATTAGACTAACACACACACACACACACACACACACACACACACACACACACACACACACACACACACACACACACACACACACACGTCGCTATATAAGTGCAATAATCTTGGGTGCGACGTCTATGTCTGAGTGGGGTATTCATGTTAAACTCCGGCATGGTATCTCAGTGGGCTAGCACTATAAATCGGCTTCACTCAGGACTAGTACAGGTATATATATACACACACATTATTTTTTATACGTTCATATACATATATTATCGTGAATTTAACTTTCATCATGATTTGGGGATTTAAATGTTAATTTGACTCACGACATTTATTCAATCCGTAATTATTATTATTATTATTATTATTATTATTATTATTATTATTATTATTATCATTATCCGCATGGCTCGGAAGTTATTATATAACTGAGAATTCCCCAAATCACCCGCGGTCAGATTTGTTAGAATTGGAGAACAAGTCAAGTACATGTGGGGACAGCCGGTGATGACGCCTTGCCTACTTGAACGCGCCAGCTGACGGTGACTGGATACGTTTCATTTAAAAGTCAATATTTCAACATCAAATCATCCTGCTGCTAGCACATTTAGTTAAAAATGTTTCATGTAAAGCCACACTTCTAACGAGGATGACGTTACCAAACTTAAAGTCTCTAAAGGTCCTTTTAACTTTGATGACCACACTTGTAGTCACCTCTATTTTGTTTATGTCTATTGAAGTGCATCTTTCGCAAGCGTCGATTAATTCCTCTGTAAAGACGAAGCTATTCCACAGCCACAAAACGTTGCCGTTGGATGATTACAAAACATACACGTCTGGAAAGTTCGCAAGGCATTATTTCCTTAACCAGGATTTGATCCGAAGCTTCAACGTCAGTGTAAATGGAAGCGACGTTATTGTGTTTTTGCGCATACAGAAAACCGGAAGTACTACATTAGCGAGACATATGCAGAAACACTTCAATGTCTCGCCTTGGTGTCAGTGCAATCAATTCTTATCAAAACAGTGTGATTGTTATGAAAAATGGAAGTCCAACGTCCTCTTGCAAAGGACAATCACCGACTGGCCCTGTGGACTTCACGCAGACTGGACTTACCTTCACGAATGTGTAGAAGGGACAATGAACCAGAGACACGGCCAAGAAATAAAGCAAAGGTATGAGTCGTGGACTTTTCATATCATTATGCCATTTTACATTTATTTTGTCTAATACAACTATTGGCTGGTGAACAGAACAAATACTGAGACACATTCTTAATCTAAGTTATAAATACAATGTGTGCTCCTATGTCTGCACTATGCTGCTTGTTTATGTGATACAGTAAACTACGGTTATAACGAACTCAAAGGGACCGCTAATTTTAGTTCCTTATAACCGTAGTTCGTTATAAGCATATGTACAGCATATATATAGCAAATGGCAGGGACCAAAAAATAAGTTCGTGATATCCGTCAGTTCGTTATAAACGTGTTCGTTATAAACGTAGTGTACTGTGAATAACTTTTGCATCGTACGTTGTACATTAGTTTTCAAACATGCCTCTCAGATATAACCGTATAGTTTTTCAGAGAGCTTAACGTTTCAAGCAAAGTTACAAGTAAGGTAAAATCTCAACGTTCAAGTTATTTATCTTCGATGTGTATACCAAAAGGATGAGCAGTGGGGTCCTTTTGAAGAGATAGTATTGACTCGTGATGACCAATTGCAAGGAAAGTCGTCAGATATTAGCTCAATGTGTAAACCTATTCTTGGTGTTCTTAGCCATGCTTTTGATAGAATAATACTGAATTCAACATAAACCCCATTCGTTCACTCTAAACAATTGCAAGCGTATGTTTGTGAACGACTTGATAATGTACGTGTATTATGTTTTTTGTAAGCGTATCAAGGTGAGTGGTTAAGTAAATCTGACAGAGTGTCCGGTGAGGGTTGAGTTTGGTAGCGACCAACATAATTATATCAAATGAGAAGAAATTGTTTTTCTCACACACACACACACACACACACACACACACACACACACACACACACACACACACACACACACACACACACACACACACACACACACACACGCACGCACACGCACACATACACACACGCACACGCACACGCACATGCACACACACACCGATTGCGAAATCGGCAACACCGGAAGCGCTCGTTAAATCTACATCATCATCATCATTATTATCAACTGATAACTGCGTTTATTGCGCATGTGAGTTTGTACTTAAGGTCGATTTACGATAACATGACAATGCTAAAAATGTTTCAGACATTTGTACGTTACCATGGTGAGAGACCCTCTTCGAAGGTTCGTGAGCGAATGGGAACACGTGGTCAGAGGAGCAACATGGAAAGGTGTTAAACGTATTTGCAATGGTCATGCTGCCACAAAAGCGGAACTTCCTCGATGTTTTCGCAGGAACTGGATAAACGTCACCCTTCACGACTTCATTGACTGTTCAACAAATCTCGGAATAAACAGACAAAGCCGGATGTTAGCCAACCTGAGCATTGTTGGTTGTTACAATACTTCCGCCTCCGGTCTCACGTACGATGAAAGGCACTATCTCATGCTGGCAAGTGCAAAAGAGAACCTACGGAACATGGCGTACTTCGGTTTGACAGGTCATCAAGAATTATCACAGATCTTGTTTGAGAATACCTTCAACTTGAATTTCATCACAAAATTCAAGGATAATCCACCCAGTAAAACATGGAGTGGCACGGCAATTCTATCGAATGTGTATCGTAACAAAATACTTCATATAAACAGATTTGACGTCATGCTATATCAGTATGCCAAGGATTTGTTTTTCCAAAGATTACAAATGTTGGCTGAGAGAACAAAGGATTCCTCACTTCGGAACTTTATTCACATGAGACTAGTTAACGGCAACGCGTAAACATGACCAATACTAATATGTTTTAAAAATGCTAAGTAATTGAAGGCGAAGCAACATTGACCACATCATTGGTGTCATACGAACATTTGTATTGATGTCGTATCAGTTTTTAGGCATGGCGAATACACATAAATTATGTCAGAAGTTGTTTCTGTGAATGGACAATTACAATTTCAATGAAACACTCAATGTTGTGTTAATGGGAATTGACATGAAAGCTCACAAGTCGGAATAAGCAATCTTGCAAAAGATCAACTATCAACGTTTGTTGTGTCGAGTTACAAATCGACTTTTACCATCTCCCTAGTATAATAAATTAGCTTGGCTGGTTTCTGAACAATATTGCCATTGATTACTGATCAGGTAATGCATTGCTAGTGAAAATTTAATTAAACGTGTATGTTTGCTTTAATTTTCATTATTAAACGTAATCAATATAACCTATGATATTTTGCCTGTTTGCTTCCTGTAATATCGGACCGCCTCCAGGGTCGAGCGGTAGAGCGTCCGCCCGGAGAGCGGAAGGTCTGGGGCTCGATCCCCGGTCGCGTCATAACAAAAGACGTTAAAAGGTGGTACTTGTTGTTACCCTGTCTGGCGCTCGGCTTTAAGGGGCTAAAACAAGGACTGGTCGGCTTGGTGTCAGTATACTGTGTCTGAGTGGGGTATTCATGTTAAACTGCGGCATGGTATCTCAATGAGCTAGCACTATAAATCGGCATCAGTCCGGACTAGTACATAAGCAACACACATCACACACGTACATGCACGTCGCTATATAAGTGCAATAATCTTGGACGCGACTTTAAGCCCAATTTCATCTCACCTTACCTCCTTTCATCATACAACACCAGTGACCAAAGAGTTCAACACCAGTGACCAACGAGTTCAAAACCAGTGTCCAACGGGTTCAACACCAGTGACCAGCGAGTTCAACACCAGTGTCCAACGGGGTGGACAAGGTTTGCGTGTTATGTTGCCCATGCGTGTAAGGGGAATACAATCCTATGCGGTGGTGTATATAGATAGAAGATTAGCGAATTATGTTTCCGAACAATACATGTCATTTCATTTGGATTTCAAGTTGCATTTTGTGAGTCTCTGGCTCATTTATAAAGTATCAACACCACAAGTCCCCTAAATATACAATATTGTACTCATTTAACATGGTTCTACACTGTATAATGTGTTGAGAACGTTGCCTCGACCTAGATTTAAGATTTCAGATCCTCATTGTCGAAGAACCTAATGGAAATTATAGAACAAGCGTGGGCCACGTTGCACACGGCTCTAACGTGCGGGGCGGATGTGTTTCACACCTGTGAGAAACAGGATGTGCACGGGTTGCGCCACGCGTGGCCAAGTCGCGTGAAGGGGGATGAGCTCCTCCGCATTATATCTGTGAGTAAGTGAGTATGGTTTTACGCCGCTTTTAGCAATATTCCAGCAATATCACGGCGGGGGACACCAGAAATAGGCTTCACACATTGTACCCATGTCGGGAATCGAACCGGCCGGGTCTTCGGTGTGACGAGCGAACGCTTTAACCACTAGGCTAGCCGACCGCCCCGCTTTATACCTGTGAAGATCTACGTTACAACTGGTCATGAGCAACCCATGATTGTCGTATGAGGCGACTAACGGGATCCGGTGGTCAGGTTCGTTGACAAGTTTTTGACGTAACCAACACAGCAAAGACAGATCGATCGATGCTCATAATGTCAATCACTTGATTGATGGAATATTGCCTAGGGAGTCGTTAAATAACAACAAAACAAACCAGATCATTAAGTCAAGCCAGCAATACGCTTTTGTAAAGAGTTTCTCTGACAAGCAAGGAACGGTTGCACACACACTGTGGAGACTGCAATTATAATTAACAACTAAGTACTCTGAATCCTTCAATATGTGCGATCGCAGTCGGTAATATTATACATTGATACAAGCCGATAGAGAACATAACTTTCTTTGACAAACTTTAGATTATTCAGTACAATTTACAATGCATAAACGTCGATCTTTGAATTAGCCGAGAGAACAAAGGATTCCTCACTTCGGAACTTTATTCACACGAGACTAGTTAACGGTGTTAATGTAATCCTATTGCAACAAAAGTACCAAGCATTAATCTATATTTCTGTTGCATTAACTTAACTAAATTGTTGGTTACATGCGCCTCCCTGGAGCTGATAACACGTGTTTTTGAATGAGTGAGAGAGACAGTCACAAAAAGCAGAAACTGCAAACAATCTATGATGTAGTTTCAATAGAAAACTTCGTGAAGTAATCCATACGACCTGCCGTTTGCGGGTATTTTAGAGAGAAAGGACAACGTGATAATGAAAGAGAATGATCTAGGTTTGACGACATGCCATGATTTGTCTGACCTGTGAAGATCCGGGGTACAATAGGTCTTCAGCAACCCATGCTTGCTGTAAAAGGCGACTATGCTTGTCGTAAAAAGCGACTAAATGGATCGGATGGTCAGGCGCGCTGACTTGGTTGATGCATGTCATCGATTCCAATTGCGTGGATCGATGCTCATGATATCAATCACCGAATTGTCTGGTCCAGACTCGATGGTTTACAGACCACCGTCATATAGCTGGACTATTGCTGAGTGCGGCGTTAAACAACAAAGCAACCAATCATAATAGGTCTCAGCGTTCATGGCCTCCCCCGACGTGTAGACGACCTAAGCCAAGAAAGAACACAACCACTTACATCACAAGAATTGGATCAGGACTCACAGTATAAGAAATCTAGAGGTGAGAATGATAAGACTGATATCACAGTGAACTTGCTGCCAGATACATAATGTCAGACTCAGTGAAAGCAATGCACTCTAAGCAGAATCATCGGTTCGAACAACAAATGATTCAGAAAATAGACGAAAATGTCAAATGGAAGATAAGAGAGGTAAAGACATGGATAACCAGACCGAGCACTTCAGCGACCCGATCGATGAGGTCAAAGACAGACATTTAGCTGATTTTGACAATGTGAACAAACAAGTGCTTGATATGCGAACCTATGTGAACAACAAAGAGGGAGATCTTGTTAGACTCAACATGTTTTATGTTACGCGACTGAAACAGTGAAATTAAGAGGAACAATGTTTTAGCTGTTGTGCCAGATGGTCTGAAATTAAAGAGGTTGATATTGTGAGAGTGGAGAGAAAACCGGCTGGTTACCCTCGTTATACTGGTGTTTTCAGAGCTGACTGTCACACTGACGATAAAACTCATGAAATCGTTTGTTTGTTAGTTTAACGCCGCACTCAATATTCCAGCTATATGACGGCGGTCTGTAAATAATCGAGTATAGACCAGACAATTCAGTGATTGACATCATGAGCATCGATCCACGCAATTAGGATTCAATGACATGCATCAACCAAATCAGCGAGCCTGACCACCCGATCCCGTTAGTCGCTTTTTACGACAAGCATGGGTTGCTAAAGACCCACTCTACCCCGGATCTTCACGAACCTCAAAATCCCAAGGAACTTCAAGTATTTATTGTAACTGACAAACCGCTTCAACAAAGCCTATATGAGACGAATTTAAGAACAAGTGCTAACGCAATTTGCGAAGGGAGATTGAGAGGTTCACGCTTGACGCTGACCCCAGGTTGGTCGATATGTGGAGAATCGAGGTCAAACTGAAAGACACAACATCAACAGTGACGAAACGACAATGCTCTTGCAGAGGGCGGAGCCTGTGAAACGCAAGCGACGGAAGAATGACCAGAGACGAGGTGAGGAGTGGATTTCTGCTGACAGAATTGAACAGAAGAGAAAAAGCAAATGTAGCCTGTGGGTTTTAGTGGGTCGCAGGATTGTCACTAGCCGAATTGAACAATCGTATAAAACCCTGTGAAACAATACAACCCGCCAGTTAATTGTAGCCTTGATTAACTGAATTGAATATGATTATCATGAATTATGTTTGTCTATGTTCTCGCTCATACGAGTATATGTACTGCAAAGTTATAGGTCATCCCTCCATCACATCCCTTCATTCACCCATTATTCCTTCGCATCACGCCATAGATCCGTCCCATTTGTAACATCGCTCTCTTTCATCGCATCTTTTCCCGATCTCACCATCGCTTAGCACTTAAGTTCCATTTCAGCACATCGTCGTTTCACAACATTGTATTGCATCATCTCACAATCTCACCATCGCGCCATTGTATTGCATCATCACACAATCTAACCATCTCACCATCGGGCCATTGTATTGCATAATCTCACAATCTCACCATCCCACCATCGCTCCGTAGTATTGCATCATCTCACAATTTCACATCTCACCATCGCGCTATTTTATTGCATCATCTCACAATCTTACCATCTCACCACAGCGCCATTGTATTGCATCATCTCACAATCTCACCATCGCGCTATTGTATTGCATCATCTCACAATCTCACCATCTCATTATCGCGCCATTGTATTGCATCATCTCACCATCTCACCATCGCGCTATTGTATTGCATCATCTCACAATCTCACCATCTCACCATCACGCTGTTGTCTTGCATCATCTCACAATCTCACCATCTCACCTACGCGCCATTGTATTGCATCATCTCACAATCTAACCATCGATAAGTGCTTTAGTCCGATTGAATCATTGAATTACTCCACATCACACCATTTTATAATCGCATCGCATCATCAATTAGCACTAGTTATATCGTATCACACAATCGTTAAACCACATCATCGCACAATACCGTTGCTTCAACGTGGCATTGCATCGGTCTTCGCTTCCTTGTTTCATTTAACCACTATGCTTTATTGCATCATTCATGTGTGTCAATGGCCTTCCTCGACCATCATAGTGTGACTACTGACATATAATATGTCATTGCGAACTATCTGTGTAAATTTCTACAGATGTTGAAATTTCCTGTAGATCAATCCATATAACAGGTACAGGTTTTTCACAAAGGAAATAAAAATATGCTGATCTATTTCATTTATTGATAGAATAGACAATTTGTGAAATGTTATTTATTTTCGTTAGTGTTGTATTTACTCATGGATATGAATGTATTAGCGTTTTACGGAGTGGAAAAGCTTGTGAAAGTAATTTAGCCGCATTGAATTTAGCACATTGATGAGCAGATATAATAGGCAAATTGTGATTGACAGAGCGCTTCAATTGCCATTGGTTTTAACATTTCTAAATTTTTAACTTTTTTAATAGATAAAGTGCCAACTGTAATAAAATGTTGCAATTATTTGTTGTAAAGGTATAGTAAAACAAAGGCTTAAATGTATTCACGGCCGGATATTGAAAATAATTCAAGGGGAAATATTTGTATCTCGAGTATAAGCTGAACATTTTAAAATCATTTGATCGCCATCTTAATTTTGTAAGAGCTCTGCTATTAAAATTTGAATTTACAAGCTTAATTGATAACAACT